GCACCTACTTCCGTTGATCTGTAAGTCTCAAAATGTGGCCGAGTTGAGATTAAAGCAACGTATAGACTCTGTCAAAAGCTCCTGGGAATGCTTCACCCCCAGAGGGCAGCTGGAGAGGCCAGTACACTGCAGCCGCAGCTCACAGCACTGTCTTTATTACGGTGATAAAACTTTAGATGCTTTGCATGTTCTTTTACAGTCAGAGCTGTAAAGGTCAACACTACCTCTACTTCTGAGCTGAGCCAGAGGTTTCAGCTGTGGCACATTTGGCGAAGACAAGCAACGATGTAATACATGGATTCCAGATGTAGTTTTCAGAGATGCTTAACTTGCATCTCTCCTGGGTGCCAGTAACAGCTCAGCATTTTCAGCATCTCCTACTGCACTTCGGTTCTCATTAAACCAACGAGCTGCAGAGCCGGGGTCAGAATTCAGAGATCCCTGTGGTAGTTGTTGACGTACTTCTGTTCCCATCTGAGTTTCCGCCAGTTTGTTCTCCCAGTCTGAGGCTTGGCACGCGACAGCCACTCACCAGGAGCTGGTTGTCTGGAGAGTCAATAACGTGACTGTGATTCCAGGCGCCCTGGTAGCACCAGCTCGAAGGGTTCCCCGCACGCTGTGTGATTTCCTTATCAACCCTCCTGCACGCTGGCAGATCACGTGTCTTAAAAATAACAGGCATATCTATGTGCCCAAGGTCCTCTATCTTGTTTTTAAGTATCTGGGAGATAAACAGCATTGAAAAATTGTAAGGTTTTTGGTCAAAACAATTAACAAATCCAAGTCAAGCCTGTTGACTAGCTGCAGCTAGTTGTAAAAATCTCATTCCCCAGCCCCCAAAACTCCACATTTCATTGAATCTTCATTTCAAAATAGCAAGTTTTTAAGTCTGTCAGAGTGTAAACCTTTTGTTAAAACCAGTCTGATCTGCAACAAATATTTCATCACTTTCTCTCGTAAAAAATTGATAAATATTGCTTCCATTTCAACAGAAAATAGAATATTTTTTGTGGATAAATTATTTCCAGATCTCTCCACAGAGTTCTTGTTAGGATACTGACTTTGCTTTGAATTAACACTTGTTTCCCTCTCTGGTAGGCAAAGAGGATGATCATCTTTTCTATCTGAGAGGCAAAATGAAGAGAACAAAGTCAAGAACACTTGCAGAAAAAGAAGATAAGCTCCACGTGGGTATCTTCTGCCAGTACAGGAAAAACTACCTACAGAGCAGCACGAATATGAAGGAGGGCTTCCAGGGGTAAAAACAGAAAGCTTTTCACCCTCACTGGGGTAGTATAACCAAACATCGTTGTTACGAAGGGCTTAACGAGACCATCGCTCACATTTTTGGACCGATTCTGTTTTACTGACGCAGCATTAGGCCTGAAGACTGTTGCAGACTGATTTTGTTACAGGTTTTTCTCAGAAGCAACGTCAGATGGAGGCGTTACTGTCTCCCCTGACCCTCACCTCTTGGTCTGACTCCGCAGGACATGGCCTTGGCTGCGCTAGAGCCACTCGTCACAGCCAGGCTGTGGACGAGGAGGGGAAGATGATCTACACAACCAGCTTTCACGTCAGCTCAGTTTTCCCATTAAGCTGAGAAGTCAGCACAGCCGAAGGCTGGCTTAATGCAAGCAGCAAGGCTTTATTTTCACTTGAGACCGAATACCCTGGAAGCACAGCCTACTAAACAGATTGTCAATGATGGCATGGGAACTGTCAAAAGGGAAACGTGCATTAATCTAAGCTTGGATCAGTCAGCCAGCTCAACAGGGGAAAGAAGATACAGAGCTTGGTGATGAGGCCAGAGAGAAAAGTGCTGGGTCAAGCGACTGGGCTTTCAGAAGGGGAGAGGAAGGTGAAAGGCTGGGAAGAAATAAAAGGAAAAGGTTTTAGGTTTTGTTGTTTCTTTGTTGGTTTAAGATCTAGTAAACTAACTTCTGTGAAGCAAAGCATATTCATTTTTTAAATAAAATGCTTCCACCAGTTCTGGAAGCTTCAAACTGTAATCCTATAGCAAAGGACTGGTGGCCGTGTTTCGTTTTACTGTGGTGAGTAGATCGCTGTACAGCCCTGGGGAGCGGCACTGGTGTAAAGATAATCATCTGCAGACACATTTGCTGCGCCAGCTTCAGTCGTGAGACATTCACCTGGGTTAGCCAGCACCTGCTCACTTTCAGGACATTCCCAGGGAAGAGTCATGGATTAGTAATAGTGAGGCACAGCTACGCTGCATTCATGGCACTGTATGCGTTTTCCACCTTTACTCCAAGGCGGAACATGGCCCACCTACCCGTGTTTTCATTATGGGAAACGTTACTGGCTATTTTCCATGTCTCCACAGCCAAAGTCCAGACAACTACTGGACGAACTGGGTCCAGATGGGAAAGGAAGAGCCATCTTGGTAGAACAATTGCTCAGTGAAGTAAGTTATTGCTTGTTGAAGTTTGCAACTCTTTGACCATTTACTGCATGAGTGTTAGTCTGCTATGCAACTTCAGCTTTACGCTTAGGAGGCAACAGTCTTGCAATACAACTGTCTTGAAAGCTTGAACTGATTGAAAGAGCATTTTAGAGAGGAAATAGCCTATTTTACATATGTTCTCCCCAAATTTCTATTTGGCCAGTGTGCAAAGCATTGTCCTCACGGTCATACAAAAAGAAAAAATTACTCATTTTACAGTTTAGGGTCAATTTCTCTGTATAGCAAAAGCAAGCACAACCTCTTGCTGCGCCGTGAGGTGTACCCAGGGGTCTAGTGTGGGGTCTAGTTTGAACGCTCATCGTACACGCTGACTCTGGCTTTGAGCTAGGGCACGACAGACATTTTCAGAAGAAACACCACCACATGATTTGAATGTTTCTGTCTTGAGCATGTTTTCCAGCTTAAATTGGCCCAGTATTAAAGCAGGGTGGAAGCTGTAGAATCTTAATGGCTTTTACGAGCTCACCTTCCCTCTCCGGTGCGTTCTAGGGAGCTGACCCAAACTGCACCAGTGACGAGGACCGACCCGCTCTCACCGTTGCCGTCCTCAACAAGCACGCAGAAGCCGTCTCCCTCCTGGTGCAGAAAGGCGCTGACCCTGACCAGCAGTCAGGACCGTGAGTGAGCACCGAGTCTCCGTCTCGGGTCTTCTGAAGTTTTACCAAAAAACACAGCACTCCAACTGTAGAGACTGTTAGCCTCCCACCCCTCCTCCGCAAATTTGTAGTCAAGGAGCTCCTTTCAAAGCCCAGTTTAAAAAAGAAACTGGCAACTGAGCAAAGATAACGGTATTCACAGTCCTTTTTTCAGCTGCCAGCTTTGAACATTTCTCATCATTTCTGTTAGGAAAGCTGCTGTTCTGTTCAACTCCTTCCCCCATCCCCTTCAGCTTAATACGATAAAGCACACTAAAGCCTACCAAAAAAAGAAATCACAACTCCTAGTGTATTCCATATCCTCCTATCTGTTTTCCTTCATCTGCTAGACCACCTCTCTGTGGACCAGCTTCCTTAGGTAATCAGTACATTTCTCATTCCTCCTATGCAGGCACAACAACACTGCTCTCCATGAGGCAGTTCTGCTTGGACTGGAGGGAGAGGAGTGCATCCGAGGCCTGTTACAGTAAGTACTGCAGCTGGCCCTCTAGCTCAGCTCCGGGCTACCCACAGTCCGCCTGCACGGCTCTGGTTGGCAATACCTAGGGCCTGGCCAAGGCTCGGCCCTCTCATCTCACAGCTGTGTCCCTGCAGCAAGAGGCAGCCAGAAATTCTGAAGTTACTCTGCTTCAACATTCACCTACAAGCCACTTCACTAATTCCAGTAATTTGGGATGCATTTAGGTAGCTTAGAAGAGTCTGTTCTTTATTTACAGCTGCAATGCAAGCATAAAAAAGAAGAATGCAAGAGGGCAGTCGGCGTATGATTTGGCCGTGACAGCTGGAAATAATGAAGCTATTTCATTGTTCACAAGTAAGCTTGGACAGGGAACACGGGATGAACTTATGAAACCCAGGAACATCAGTCTCACCAGCTCGTGATTGCAACCGCCCTCTCGCCAGGATGGAGCTGGAGGTTCCTTGACTCTGGGAGTACCTAAGCATCCAGTTCTGTCTGCAGCCTTTACAGCCCGGTACAATCCCCTCCGGCCTCGTAACCGCCAGCTATTTTGTACAAGATTCCCCCATTCCTTCCCAATTCCTCACTCTTCCCTCTGTTTGCAAGATTTCTTTTCCTTTCCAAACCTGTGCAAGGAGACGGACCAACCAAACCTTCCAAGGCACCAGGACGTTTTAAGGAGACCTGATAAACACCACTTACAACACTCTGACACTCGAGCAACAGCACTGCAAGCTGTACTCCCATTAGCTTATTTTCCATTTTGAAGTTAAAATTGCATTCAGTGCAGCTCATTGTGTTAAAGGTCAGATTCTTTTCCTCCAGAAAACTGAGTAAAATTACTTTGCTGTTTTGCCTTCAACTTTTATTTATAAATGTACATGAGGAAGCAGCCAACCACAAAACAGAAGTTTACAAGGATACCAGGCACACTAAAATTTGGTATAATTACAATTATTAGCCACAGTCCTAAATCCCTAAAGGAGTTTTAAAACTCCTTCCCCTTTTTATTTCCAAAAGTATCCAAAAAGCATTGGTATATTCAGTATAAAAATGAAAGAAACACAGGTTTTTGCACCAGAGCTACCAGCGTCTCCAAAATGGAAACAGCTGGGTTTAGGTTTAAAAACAAACAAAACAACCAAACGCACAAATAAAACCACAAGTAGAAACTCTTAATTAAACCAACAGGAAGAACAGAAGGATCCCTGCAGAAAGAGGTTATGTATGCAGTGCATCAAACCCCAGGAACTTCCTGAACAGACTCAGGTGACCGAAGGAGAATTCAGGCTGCTTCTCACAGCAGTCTCGGGAAACACAGTCGTTGAGCCAAACCGGCAGCGCCGGAGCACGCATACAAGACACACATCACCAGCACGCGGGAAGGTAGAGTAGCCTAGGAGACCAGATTCTCTATTTCGTGGCGTACGTTCTTGGCTGCATCTTCAACCTCGGTCACCTTCTGAGAAATCTGTTTTTTCTGTAAAGAATAAAAATAACACGTTACTGTCACTAAATTGCACATCGCTCAGCCTCAAGGGGACAGCAGGCTTTGTCCCCCATAAGGCAAAGGCTGAGCCCGGGAGCCTGGCAGCACTGTGGGACAGAACCAAAATGCCAGCTTAACAATCCCAAGGCTAGAAACGAAATAACTCTTCCAGAGCGCCAGGAGCACACGAGATCACCACGGCACGGACGCGTACGTACGATTGCGTTTTTAATTCGTTCTTTGTCCAGCTTCAGGAACTCCTGCAGCGTCAGGTTAGTAGGATCTTTCTGAAGGGAGAGAAAAGCGCAGCCCGCAGAGTGCTTTTTGTGCTCCTCCCTGGAAAAGACAAGCAGCTCACAACGAGACCCAGGCGGCCGCTCCTCCCTGCCAAAGGTCGCCCAGCGGGGCCTCTGCCCGCCCCCCGGCTGGAGGGGGCTGCCCTCGGGAGCGGAGCCGGGGGAGGGGGCACC